TTTTTCACAAAAAATCAATTTTTTCAACTTAAATTTTGAAAATGTTCCGGAAAGTCTGACACTTTTATATATATATCTTAAATTAAAGCTAATGTAATATGCTTTATTTTGGTAAAAAAAAATTTCGGACTTTATTTTAACTTCACGGTGAAAATAGCTACCAAATGCTATTATTGTGTGAAAATTCTCGATTTTATTTTTTACATTTTTAACTTTATAATGATATAACTTATTGAAAAGTGTATGGATCAACATAATTTTTTAATAAGAAATAATATTTTTTAATAATCCCTTTTTCATTCGACATAATTTATCTTAATCAGGATATTAATAAGGAACTAGCAGATTATGTAGCTTTTGGAATAATATACCAATTTTTTTAAATTATACACTATCTAAAGATTTGCATCAAATCGTCTTTTTTTTTATAGTGATTTTAATCACTGTCAGATATCATTTTACTTGATCCAACTATGCACGTCACAACTGTGCCGCGATTCACTGTGCTGGGTTTTTTTAAAATACGTTCTATCTACTGAAATCAGTTTTTTTATGACGTTATTATCAATGATACGGGACGTTTATATGTCAATTGTGAATTATCAGTTGATGTGCTTTTTGTATTGTCTGTTGATGTATTATTAATTTACAACAATGTGCNTGTATTGCCTATTGATGTATTATTAATTTACAACAATGTGCCTTACTATTTTACTTTAAGAATATCTGTTGACAAAGTCATAATTGATACTTTTTTCTAACTATACTAATGATCAATACTAAATAAGAGTTTAAATTCGTCCTAAAACTAGGTTCAACACGAATACAGAACTTCTTGAGCACATTATTATTGAAACATCTTACATTAGTGATTTTAATCGCTGTTAAAATTAAATCTAAACAGGTTTCCTATTTTCCCGACATCTCTCCATAGTCGCAACTAGAATAAAACTTTAGGGAGTGTTACTATTATTTTTTAACACTAAAAAATATTTTTTTATAAGATCACATATATATCCCACTTTTTTTGTAAGGTACTTTATTTAACCTCTAGTTGTGTCTTTACATCTAAATGTACTAGATTTTTGGATTATACTTCACTTCACATTAGAATAATCATAACTCATTTACATTTTTACCCACAAAAAAATATCGAATACATTAATTAAAATGTACAAGAAATTTAGTGTTTTGATTAATAAAAAAAAAATTCGCAGTCATTAACATAAATAAATTTGACTATGTGAATAAAAAAAAAAAAAAATTCTGTTCTTAAATTAAAGATACCTCTAAAGTTATCACAATTCAATAGCCTTATTATTTATAATAATTAATAGTTAAATATCTTTGAATGTATCAATTTAATTAAGATACATTGAACAAATGACTTTTTCATAGCAAATGTTAAAACTCGTACATGCGACATATCTTTCTGAAAATGTTAGCATAGTACAGCCAGTTTTTTTTTACATTTGCAAATTTATAGCGTCTACTAGTGACATAACTGTCTCGATATATCAAACTATGTACAGACCGCTATTTCTATATTATAAGATTAAAGTCATCATTTGTTTTGAAAGTGTAACATAAATGAAAACAAACTTTCATATATCAATATGACATTTATAAGCAGTTCTCAAAATTATATTCATATATATATATATATATATATATATATATATATATATA